AAAAAAAAAAAAAAAAAAAAAAGAATAAATGAATCTTTCCTTCATATTTTTTTAAGGAAAGTAGAATTTATGTGATCAGTGAACTAAGCAATGTGCTTCCTTTGCCATCTGAAAGGTTGGCTGCACTTCAAATGGCCATGTTTGTTTGGTATTTTATCATTCGCAACAGACTCATCAGGAATGGGAATCAATTTGCTTGCACTGGCAAGTTCTGTTCTGGCCTGGTATATAAATCACAAGTTTCTTACTTCATCAAGAGACTTTATATGAACATGGAATATTAAGTTCCTATTTATGCATAGCATTATTAAATATTCTCAACTGTTATAATGTTTGGGGATAAGTAATTATATAGTCATAGATCTGACATATATAAAATATTTCACATAGGGAAATACAAATAACTTAAAATATAAAAATTAAGTAGAATTAAAGCACCAGCTACATAGGACCTGAAAAAAAAGGATCATTTTATTATGTCGCCCTTGGTTCTTTGTGAATAAATAAAGAAGAAAACAGCACAAAAAGGTTACTTGGTTAACAATCCCACCCTCTGCTCTTATCATAGTGGCAAATAATTAAGGTAATTCACAGCCACTGGCTGGAATCCACGCTAGGTGAAGCAAATGGTCACATCTCTGTGAATTTCACATTAACAGCTGAGTTTATTTCCTTTGAAAACTGGTCAAATTTTCAGGACAGCAGGCCACACCATAGGGCTCGGGAGGAAAGGGCTGCCTCAACAAATCAAGCTTAAATGGATTGCTCATCACAGCTCAAGGGCATAGCACAATGCTTCCCAGGTGTGCAGTTGTGTTCAGACCTTTGGACAGTTTCTCCTTTTCTATTCTCTTCCTCTACAGTGTCTCCTTTCTCCTCTTATTCACTTGTCCACTTTATTCCATTATCCATCTGGTGGTAAGTAGCTAAATAGTGCCTTCTTACATATTCCTCTCCCCATTTTAATTCTGTGAAATCACTAGTGATTTCAATGATCATGAGTGAATGAATGCCACTTCGATGACAACATTCGTCTTCCTTCCAAGTGATTTATTTGAATTTAATATGTTCTCTCTATAAATGGATCTAGTATTCCCACACACATTAGAAAAAGAAATTCTTAATAGAATTATTGGGTTCTCCATATTTGAAAAATTACCCTTGAAAGTGAGAAGTACTTGAGACAGAAATCCCTTGGAAACACCATTCCTATTCAGGCACTAACATTCACCTTTGCCCTGGTAACAGTCTCTTCTACATAGTTCTCATCCGTGCTTCCCATCTATGCCTGGAAGCTTTCTCTGTTGTTACTACAGGAGTCGAGGGGTCCCAGTTCGATTGGCTCTTTTGGGGCTACATTTCCCACCTGCTCATCCCCTTGACTGTGCTTCTGGCTCTGCTGGAAGACCAAGTTTCCAACACAGATTGCTTAATACAGCAGTACTGCAGCACAGCATTGAAAAGACTACTGAAAAATATGACCATCCTCTCTATTTCTTAAATGTGATGAGGCAGGTGATGAGGCAAGGAAGGCAAAGAATGACATTGAACACAATTGCTTTGGCATTTTTGTCTTTTATACAGTAAGTTAACCTGTATGAAAAGTACATAAATTCCCGGGCCCATTACTAACAAGTTGGCTTTATCTTGAATTAGTCAATATACTCTTATTTAAAAGGGTAGCAAATTAGGCAGATTTACTACTGTACATTATTACAAATTAAGGTGCCTTACAGGACCATCGAGAAGGCAATTCAACATGGAGCATCCAAGAACTACAGTGATCCCAGAGAATCTCTTGAACTTGTTCAACTTTCGAGCACAGGATTATAGGGTTCTTTTTTAGCCTCTAAAATGTACACAAAGATATTTGGCTATATGGAAATTTACTCTACCTTTTATGCTTATGAAGGTAATTTTGCCTTCTGAAAAACAAATTTAAAAGTTCTAACATCATTTAAATTATACTTTTTTTAAACCCACAATCACGATTGTACAGTACAGCCACTTTGAAAATGCTGAGCATTTCATTCAGTTCAACATTTGTTACCACAACAAATTTATGTGTAAAAGACACAATATGCTAAACACAATAAATTATGTATTTCCAATTATAAGCAATTCACTGAGAATGGATAGTTTAATAAACCTATAGTGTATCATACAGGGAGTTAGAATATTCATTCAATACTAAAGAAACTTGCCAAAAATTTGGGATACAAAACTACAAGCAAAGTTCTGTGTGAAAGATTTCTTATATCAGGTCTTTACCATGACTGTTATCATAAGTTATTAAGGTAGTGTTGGTCAGCTGTGCAATTTTAGCTCTAGTTATTATTTATTACTTGACAATCACTTGGTATAAACAAACTTTCATTGAAAGAAAATAAAAGAGATTTAGACTTGGAGTACTGGTATTAAGCAAAATCCCCTCAGGAAAAATAATGTTTTTCCTCTGTTGAAGCACTTAATGTTCTTTAAGACAAATACACATTTTTTCATATCTCAGTCCCTTCAACTGTCTCCCAGTAAAAACTCTGAATTGGTGACATATAGTATAAGCAATAATTTAAAATGTGATTTTGCCTCTTCTTCCTTTTCTTTTCTCCCTTCCTCTGTCTTTCCTTTCTTCCCTCCATCCCTTTTGTCAAAATTTCAGAGAACCATAAACACAAATAGGGAAATATAGAACAAAGCTATGCTTTTCCAGTGGGATGGATGATGTCTACATTCATCGTTTCACTCATGCATTCACTTTTTGAGGAAGCAAAATCTCTCCAAATTGATGTCACTGAAAATAATAAACTGTGTTAAGTCCATAAAAATGGCAAATATTTTCACAAGGACTACAGTTCTTCCAAAATTTGAAGGAGAATTACATGTTTTTCTTTTCCCTATCCCACTTCAGATTTGCATAAAGAACTTAATTTTCTTTCAGACTTACTCTTGGATGAGTCTCAACAATATTAAAATAAAACAACAGGATGAAAAAATGATTCAAAATAAGCCGATATATTCATCTCTCAAAACAGTACCAACGGGGCCGTTACACTGCGAGAGACAGATGCATCAGGGACAAGTGAGTCAGGACTCTTACCTGGTGTTTGAAAGTTAAGGCGCCTCAGTTCTACGGGGTCTGTTGGATGGTGTGAGGGAACCTCCTTACTGTTCGGTATACTGCTCTTTCTAGACTCAGACTCGGCCCTCTTCCTATGGGGAGAAAATTAAAATTTAAGAATTGAAACACATGTTAAAAAAGAATTAAAACATACTTTTAAAAACACAGCCATCATCTTCAACCATCAAGTGTTCAGTTTCAAAACTTTTAATCACCTAGGTTTATGACCTTGTATAGGGTGGTTTTCCTCTTAGCCTACAGTAGCTCTTCATAGCTAAATTTTTTTTATGTAAGTGGATGATCTTAAAGTCTTCCTTCAGCTCTAGGATTAAGTAATTCAATATCTCTGTCTTTTGGCTCTAAAGGGGTGTTGGTAAGGTGTGCACATATTCTTGTTCAGTAATTCTTTCTTATCTACTAGTTCTACTTGTGAAGAATAGGATAGTGCGCTTGTAGTAGCTGATCCTAATATTGTTGGTACCAAAAAGACTACCTAGCCTCAAGCTGAATGGCTATTTCTGTACTTTTCCTCTTTTTCAGAATATATAATTGGTGACTATAGGATGGGATATATTGAATTTTCCATTGAGATAAATAATACTTCTAAGATATTAAGCTACCCTAATACCTACAAGGAGAATTCGGGCCACACAAGATCAACATCTCTTTTTTCTTTCAAATTGGAAGGAAAAAAAGTGTTGACTATCTCTGGTGGTGTTGAGCTATTTGTAGGTAATAGCTTGTTAATGACAGTCAATCACAGAATGTTCAGGGAAAAAGTAATTTCTCCCTATGTGCAGTCCAACTCTTCTGATTATTGAGTGTACCATTAGTGGTGTCTTGTTATAAAGATGATTTTTCAAATATGATTTTTCAGAGAATCATCTTTATCATGTTTTTAATGTGCTTCATTAAATGCACGTGCTTAAATGGTCTTAATGTCATTTTAACAATTTTCTAAGAAAGAAATATCATAAGATTTCTTTATTGTTCTGTATTTCTTTGAGTCCAAATAACTATCTTCTTCTAGGCTGAATGAGATTAAAAACCCCTTTAACAAATGCAATCCTTTTCATTATTTTATTAGTACATGTTTACAGTACATAATGATTGCATTTATCCTGGGGAGCTGGTAAATTTACCTACCACATCTGAATTCAGTTTTGTCTCCCACCCCTCCTACTCCTTCTTGCTCCTGTAATACCTTGGTTCCCTTTCCAATTGCAAACACTCTATTTCCATTTGTTTGTCAATTATTTTTATCCCATTTTCTCCCTCCCCTTTCTCTCCTCTCTCTCAAGTTTTTGCTCACTTTCCCATTTGAGAAAGATCTCCCTACTTCCTACTGATCTATCTTTTATTTTACTCTTTATGTTTGGAGTTTTCATGTAAGACAAATCACATGATACTTAAGCTTGTGTATTTGATTTATTTCATTTATTACTAAGTTTCCAGTTACACCTATTTATCTAAAATGGCTCATGTTTATCTCTCTAGAAACAGTACTCCACTGTATATAATATATGACATTTTTATTATCCACTCACATCTTGATGGGCATGTAGGTCATATCTAAGACTGAGCTATTCTAAATTGTGCTGTTATAAACATGCAATATAAGTATCAATGTAACATGATGATTCTAACCTTTTTGAGAAAATCACTAGAAGGAGAATAGCTGCATTAAATGCAATTTGTAGGTTTAGTTTTTTGAAGAACATCAATTCTTATTTCCATAAGGGTTGTGCTAGTTTATATTCCCACCCACAATGTAGAAGGGCTTCTCTCTCACTCCCAGCCTCATCAATACTTGTTATTATTCGATTTCTTTTTTTTATGGAAAGAAGGTAAAACAAAAATTCATAACAAAATAATAGAAGAATAACAATAGTTAATACATTAGATGTCATTATCATTAGAATAGTTGCTCAGGGTGTGAGATATGGACATAAAAATGTTTCCAGTTGATATTAGCACAAACTTTCCTTTTTAATGAACTAAGATATGCTAATATATAATTGATGTGTATTTTTTTTCTCATTTCCCTACTGTCTTTTCCCCTTTCACCCATCCTAGTTCATTTTTCCTTTTGAACAGTTTCTTTCCACTTTACAATATCTATTGTGCATTTTATACTTTATTTACTCTTTTAGTTTCTAAAAGAGAGGGAGACAATGTAATTTTTACACATGAGTCTGAGTTATTTAACTTATGAGTATGGTCTCAAGTTACAACCATTTACCTATAAAAGTCTCCAATTCACCCTCCTTTATGGATGAGTAGTATTCTATTGTATAAAATAAACCACAACTTTTTTATCCATTCTGTACTTGTTGGGCATTTGGGTTATTTCCAAGACTTAGCTATTACTAACTGTGGTGTTATAAACATGGGTGCACATATATCACTCTTGTTCGATGTTTTTAATTTTTCCGGGAAGCTACCCGAAAGGGGAATAGCTGGGTTGAATGGGACCTCTAATCCAAGCTTTTTGCAGAATGTCCATACTGATTTCAATAGGGCGTGCACCAGTCTGCACTCCTACCAACAGGGGAGAAGGGTTCCTTTTTCACCATAGCCCCTCCAGCATTAGTTATAGGTGGATTTCTTGATGATAGCCATTCTTTCTGGAGTGAGATGGAATCTCAGTGTTGTTTCAACTTGCATTGCTTGAATGACCAGTGGTGTTCATTTAACATTTTTAAATGTTTGCCCTTTGTATTTCATCATCTGGGAGGGGTGTATTCATCCTAGATGCCCATTGTTGGATTGGGTCTTTGATTTGGGGGGATTTGATTTTTTTCAATTCTTTCTATGTTCTAGATAGAAATTTAATAAGAAGAAATCTCAGTTACTGATTCTTTGAAGTAATTCCCATGTAGTCTGGGTTTGGTTCATGAACTCTCTACCTACACCTACATATTCAAGAATTCTACCTACTTTCTCTTCCAGTAGATTTAGTGTTACTGTTTCAATATTTATATCTTCAATTCATTTTGACTTTAGTTTAGTGCATAGTGTTAATTATGGGTCTAGTTTTAGTCTTCAGCATGTAGAGAGCTGGTTTTTCCAGCACCATTCATTACAGAGGCTGTCTTTCTTCCAGTGAACATGTTTGGCACCTTTATCAAAGACAAGGTGGCTGAGTATGTTTGGAGTTCTGTCTGTACCTTCTAATCTGTTCCAGTGATCCTCATGACTTTCTTCTTGCCAGTATAATGCTGATTTTATTGCAGTAGGTTTGCAGCATAATTTAAAGTCAGGGGTTGTGATACTTCCTGCCTTGCCTTGTTGGCCAGGTTTGCCTTTGCTATTCTAGGTCTCTTCTGTTGCCAAATGAATTTTAGTAATGTTTTCTCTAGTTCTCTGAGCTATGCGAATGATTTCTATTGAGATTGCATTAAATTTACGTAACAGTTTCTTGAGTTTGGACATTTTCACTATGCTTGTTCTTTCTATAAATGACAAGGTATATCTTTCCACTTTCTTTCCATTTTTCCTCTTCAATTTCCTTTGTCAGAGAACTGTAATTTTCAATATAGAACTTTTGCTAACTTTGTTAGATAGATTCCCAAGTAATTCATTTTTTAGATCATATTGTGAAGGGTGTGGTTTCCCTAATTTCTCTCTCAGTGAGTTTGCTATTTGTGTAAAGGAAAGCTATGGATTTGTACCTAGCTATGTTACTGAATTTGGTTATTAAATCTAGAAGTCTTTTAGTGGAGTTTTTGGCATCTTCTATGTAGACTATTTTGTCATCTGTGAATAATAATAATTTAACTTCTTCCTTTCTTATCCTTATTCCTTTTATTTCTCTTCTTGTCTAGTTGTTCTGGTCAGAGTTTCCAGAAGTATATTGAATAGAAATGGTGATAGTGGACATCCTTATCTTCCTCTTGATTTCAGAGTGAAAGCTTTTTTTTTTTCTGCTTAGTATGATGCTGGCTGTTGGTTTGTCATAGATGGCTTTTATCAGATTGAGATAAAGACAATCTATTCTGTTTTTCTTTAGGGTTTTAATTATGAATGAGTGTTGAACTTCAACAAAAGCTTTCTCTACATCTAATGAGATGATTATGTGATATCTGTCTTTGGCTTTGTTGATATGCGAGTTACATATATTGATTTGGTTATCTTGAACCATCCCTACATTCCTAGGATGACTCCCACTTGGTCATAGTGTATAATCTTGATGATTTGCTGTATTCTGTTTGCTAGTATCCTATTGGAGATTTTTATATCTACATTCATTAGGGAGACTGGCCTGTAGTTCTCTTTTTAGTTGAGTCTTTTTCTGGCTTTTGTATCAGGGTAATACTTGCCTTTAGGAATGAGTTAGGGAGAGTTGCTGCTCTTTCAATTTCATTAAACAGTCTGAGAAGTATTGTAACTAAATCTCTAAATTTCTTGTAGAATTCATCTGCAAATCCATCAGGACTGGGCTTTTATTTGGTGGTATATTTTAAAATACATTTTCAGTTTTATTGACTGATATAGGGTTATTGAGAATTTTTATATCTTCTTGAGTCAGCTTTGGTAATTCATACATATCTAGGAATCTGTCCATATCTTTTATGTCTTCCAACCTATGAGAGTAAAGATTTTCAAAGTAGGTACTTATGATCTAAATTTCCACAGGATCTGTAGTGATGCCACCCCTTTCTTTACTCATTGCATGAATTTGAGTCTTTTCTTTTTTGATAAGGTTGACTAAGGGTTTATCAATTTTATTTATTCTTTCAAAGAAACAACTCTTCAATTCATTAATTCTTTGTTTTGTTTTCTTAGCTTCAGTTGCATTAATTTTTGCTATGATCTTTATAATTTCCTCCCTTCTATGGGCTTTGGGTTCTAGAAGCTTGAGGTGAAACATTAGGTTGTTTATTTGTGCTACCTCTGTTTCCATGATGTGATAATTCACTGCTACAAATTTCCCTCTTAGGACTGCTTTCATTACATTCCTACAGGTTCTGGTGCATTGTATCTGTATTTTTGTTCAATTGTAGATATTGTTTAATTTCTTCTTTAATTTCATCTGTGACCCATTGGTTATTTAATTTCCCTGTGTTTATGGAGATTTGTGGTTTCTTTT